ATACACACGAACCGACGGAAAGAATAAAGATTGTTTTCCCCCAACTAATTATACCTGCCCTTGTTGATAGGACTACAAGGTCAGGTGTTGTGGTATCTCAGAGTCGAGTTAAAGCAAGTCCAGGTGAAGCTTTGAGCCTCGGCTTACCTTCTCTGAACTCATCAAAGGTAGGTAGGTTCGTTGCATTTTCCCGACGCCCTCGGATCTTCGGCGACTTTACGAGTAAGGTAAAACAACGAACCCACCTATGTAAAAGTAAAATAGCCAAGATACGTGTACCTATAGTAGGGTCGTCAAAGGGAAGAAAAAAGGACCCGACAAAGGATGGAACCCCGGGAAATGCGACATGTTGGGGTTCGGGCGAGCGAAACGGTATCAATGGAATCATCGATCGAGAATGGATCGGATGGAAGAGGTGATCACCCTCGCCTGGGTAATACAGAGTAGTCAGATCCTATTGGCGGCATTTCAGTCAGACCAGTAGGGCGCAGCCAGGCGCCGGCGGAACCCCGCCTGTTGCCGCCTTCTCGCCGCTCGCTCCGAGACGCCGACGAGACCCTGAGCATGTGCTGAGAAGTGATGGTCTTCATCACTGTCATCACTATAGTGTCTCCTTCTATGTGCAAGTCAAACGGCACGAGAGCACCAGACATATCAAGATAATGCCATGTTTCTTCCTCAACGATATCTCGATGAAGTATACTCGCATCCAAAGGAATCCCATCACATCATCCCGACAAGAAGAAGGATCCAAAGTCAGATCCTCCTTGACCATCTCAGCCAAGCAGTTCAATCGCCCTTCTTCCTCCGCTTGGAAATCGCCTTGTCTTGGGCAAAGGAGACCAGAGTAACCCCGAATAGCATGCAATTTGCCCCAAAAAGAAAAAGAAAAAAACACGAAAAATTTCCGAGCATACCGACGAGGCAACATGTGCTGCCCAAGATGAGATCGTGCGCGCTTCCTCTGGCGTTATCCGATGATGTCCAACATGCTCCAAAGCCCATAAAGCCCTGCCGGCGACGGCATCTTTGTTGCCTATGTCGTGGTCGTCGCCGTGCAGCGGTCTTTGTGATTCCCCGTGTAAAAAAGACGCCATGTCGTCTAGTAGAAATAGTTTGCCACGTCATATACTTCATGCTGTCGGTACTGCCCGTCAAGTAACGTCACAAAGATTGGGAGGCCATGATGCAAAAAAAAAAAAACAGGTCGAGCCCTGATATCGTACGTCGTTTTAGCAAGCGTTTCGTTCCCCCTTCCGTTAGTTCGACTCCGTGTAACCAAATGGAACCAAACGCCGAACCTTAGCCCCGATGCATGGGCGGGCCGCGGTGTGGTGTCCGTTGCCCTACACCTTGTAGGTAGTGCTGCACGTCGCTTACAAAGCGCACCCCTCGGGTCCCGCTGTTGGGTTTCTCTGCGGGCTGCCTAGTCTCTTCACTCTAGAGCAGTTCGTCACTCCCGCTCGCAACGCTACCTTCGATGGCTTCGATGATGCAGCGCTCCGAAAATACAGGGCCTTGGCCGTCGCATCGTGCTTGATTCTTGAGTCTTTCGCTTACGTCGCCGACGTCCACCAGACCTCTCTTGAACAGCGGGTGGCTGATGATGAAATCCCATGTAGCGCCCGCTGCCAGCAAGCGTTCGCCGTCGGATGAAATAGCGACTCGATGACTCGGCGTCTTGTTATTGTGCGGCGCTAGCAGGTCTGTGTAGAAGTCCTTCGGGTTGTAGTGCATGGGACCTGTTGTCCGGGGTTCTGGTGACGCAGAGCTATGGTGGCCGTTCATTGACGAGGTTGCACGTAGAATCTCATTTTCGGTGCTGATCTTTTGCATCTCACGCTTGAGTCGTTCGTTTTCAGTCGACTTTTGTTGAGCCTCCGCCTCTAGGTTCGCAAGCTTGGCCTCCAGGTCCTTGACGTGTCTCTCCTTTCGTTCCCGGAATGCGCGTTGCCTGTGAGGTTCCTGTTAGTGATACAGAACAATGAGAAATGCCATGCCGCCTAAGACGATGGACATGGAGAGCAGAGGAATAACGTACGCGGCGCGGTTTTGTGCTTTCCTCCTCGATTGCGCAGGCGTCATGTTTTCTTCATCGTCCGAATTTGACTGACCCCGACGAGAATGATCGTCGAGGGGCTCCTGCTTGTGAACGAGAGCATCGGGCTGAGCCTTGATCTGCTGTACCGGGGGAGCGCTCATTCCATTGTGTTGTGTCCGTTGCTGTTGTACGGGCTGCTGTACGGGCAGGCCATGGTTCGGTGGTGTCGGTGGGCCAGGAGGGCCAGGGAATGATGTATGCTGAGGATTGAACTGCTGGGCAGCAGCATAGTTATCAAAGTTGTTGAAGTGCTGCTGGTCGTTGGGATATTCGGCGTAGACATCCTGATCGGTCATGATTGTGTAAGTGCATGTCGCAGTACGCTAAGCAGCAATCCACCAGTGACCTGTGGGTATTGGGGGCTCGAGTCGGGAAAGGAATTCCCGTTTGGATTCGACTTACCGGTGGAGATGTCGTGTTGAAGTCGTCTGAACCTGCCGAGTTTGAATGGGATGGCGTTAGGGGCGGGATGCCCATGAACTGGTACGGCTGCGCTTGCGCGAAATACTGGTGAGAGAAGTCCATGGTCGCGATCCTGCTTTTGACGTGTGTTGGACAACTATGTTGTGAAGGCAGTTATGGGAAAGAAAAGGGAAAACGGTAGAAAGAGAAGTGGGAAGCGGATAGGCGTGTCCTGATGAGGGTCCAGGTCCAGGTCCCAGTTCAGGCGTAGAGGGGGGAGGGGGGTGAGGAGCAGGAGGAGGAGGGGGGCGGCGCAGATTGGAGAGGGTTGAGGTCTCTGGAAACTTGAGAGAAGTGCTGTGTAGCCGTAAGCTGTAAGGATAGGCAGGTTGAGGTGCCGGGAGAAAAGCGCCAGTAGCGTCCACACCAGGCTAGCGTCCCGGGGGCAACAAGGCGAGATGGCCACGGTTTAGAGGATGGGACGAGTTGGTGGACGGGGGTGGCGGCACTGGTGGCTCGGGGCACAAGGAGGGTACTGCGAGCAATCTGAAATTGTTGTTTGCAAAAGAGAGAGAGAGGGAAAGAGAATGAGATGGAATGAGACTGAGGATGGGGATGAGGATGAGAGAGTGAGAGAAGGCGGGCGGAAGAGGATCGAAGGCGTAAGCAAAGCCTAGTTGCTAAAGTGTTCTCGTCCTATGGTTGTGTTGCTCGCCAAGACTCGGATGAGAGAGTGTGAGTGGTGGTGTACAACGAGGAGGAAGAGTCTCTTATGGTTCGTATGTTCTTCCAGAGGTCCAGAAGACGTCGAGTAAGGTGCAAGAGAGCACAGGCCAGGATAGGCCAGGGCGAAAGGCGTGGGGACTGGAGTTGGTTCCAGACGCTAATGCTCAGCAGGTTAGAGCAAGACTCTTTGATGATGGACAACGCAGGAGGAGCCGAGGGGACCGGGGTTGGCGAAGATGGGATGCTGTTGCTCCCCACGCACTTTTGGGCTCCAGGCCGCAGACCGTGCCGTGCCTTGGAGCAGCGAGAGTCCCAAGAGGCGTTGGTGGACGTGTGGGACGTCAGGGAATGCTGCAAGCTGCAGTGCGGGTTGCAGGGCCAGACAAGACCAGAGACAAGAACGGGACAGGGTCTGGTACGACAAACTGGTGGCGCAAGTTTCGAGGGCTTGTCTCAGTGCCGCTAGCGTGCAGTGGATGGGAGTTGGTTTTGGATCTTTTGTGTGTGTGCCGGTGTGTGGTGCAAAAGATGGTGGTTGTGGTTCTGGCGTCTGTACGGAGTAGTGACTGGTAGGTATACAAATAGGCACGGGACGATAGATGTCGGGTGTCTACTACGTAGGGATGCCTCTTTTTAAAGAGTTGTTGGCACCCGAGGCATATGTGGTGACGATCAACAAGTGCGGTGACCTCAGGGACTCGAGATAGATAGGACGAGCAACGATGTCCGGACGAAAACAATAGCAGTTTGCGTTCGCGCGTCTTTGCCAAGTGAACTGGTCCCTCTTAGCTATTAAGGTATCGCACTCGAGTCTGGATAGACCTTGTGTGGCCGGAGTGCTGGTGCTGGCTCAAAGTCCGCCGGGGCATGTGTATGAAGTACTGTGTATGTATGAACAGATGGATGGATACGCGGTAATGCAGCCAGGGCAATCTTTCTGCGTTTGAATCCTCGGGCTTCTCTTCTGATGTCATGAAGTTGGGAAACCCAGGTCGGGATGAGTCGAGGTGTAATATAACCAAACCTAAGGGAGGTTGGTCCCGGTCTTCAGAGCAGCCAGCATAAGGTGCCTACCTATCTCGCGAGGTCAAAACGAATCGAAAAATTGGTGTACGAGGGAGGGGACCATCCAATAGGCTGGACAAGCCGATACTACTGAGCAACACGTCTGCGTCTATTTGCCCGTTCGTACAGAATCACCATTCGCAGGTAGTTACCTCTGGCTTTCGGTGGGTGCACGTGGTCCGGGCAGTCCCCAGAAAGCTTGGGGGACTCCTTGACGTCGTTCGTGACTCGTCTGAGTTGAGAGACGAAGGGTCTGGCTCCAGCCCTCCCTCCCAGTCTCGCCCCTTGGACCAAGGAGAGAAATCTCAAGGGCACTGACCAGGCTGGACCAGATGCTTTCAAAGATGCGAGGGGAAGGAGGGGGCGAGACTGCTCGGGGTATGTCAGGGTATTGGACCAAAAGCTAACTTGGAGTGACAGCGGGGATAAGGTTGCTGTCGATGAAGCAAACAAAGCCCGAATCCAAGTTTGTTGGTTGAAGCAGAGTATTGACAGATGGCCGATCCTTGGACAGAGTTGGCACTTGTTGGTGGAACTGGCCTGATCAGTCGGTCCAAGTCCAAGTCTACTGTGTAATAGAGTGTAGGGGACGTTTTCCTGTCGAGTGTCAACACACTAGCGCAATACTCCGTATGGGCCAGTCATTGTCCGTTTACCTATGCAATAGACTCCCCCGTAGGTTTGAATAGATGACACTCTGGATTGGATGGCGACGATGGGATCAGGTAGATGGAAAGAGACCCGGGCCTGGCGGGATGATTTTGTTGGGCAGAGATTAGTGCTTGGCTCCAGACCGATCCATGGAATCGATGCGAGTGCAATCAACGAGAGGCCTGTGAGAGGAAAAGTATTCGTAGAAATTGGGATCCGTATTAGCTTGGTGTCTGTAGTGTATGCGTAGCTGGTCCGTGAATCCGTGATGCCAGGGTGCCAACGAGACGCCGGGGATGTGAATGATGGAGGCGTCAAAGTCTAAAGTCTAAAGCTCCGTGATCCATAATCCACAAGTTACCTTGCCGCACACCGCCAGGGAAAAAGAGTAGTGGCCGGGAGCAAATATGTCCCGTGCTTGCCTCATCAACACAGAGCATTTGAGCATCTCCTTGTTCCTCCCTTGAGTTCAGGTTGTTCAAACTTCAGGCGAGATGCCGGTACCTACACCAAGCTAGATACATGAAGCAGCAGGCATGTGAGGTGGGAAGCGTACCCTTTAGTGATCATAGTATTACTTCATCCCCTACGGAGCAAGGCACCTTAGGTAAGGTACTGACGAGTAGTCTGACTATCTGAGGCGCTCCTCCTTCTCTTCCTCCTGGGGCCCTGACAGGCAGGTAGGCAGGTCTGAGATAGGCAGCAGCTGACAGGGCCAACAAGTTCCAGATTCCAAGACAGGGCGAGTTAAGGTACATTCCGGCTTGGCTGTCTCCGTACCGAGCCCTGAAGTAGATGGGACCTTTCCTCTCCTGCCCAAGTGCGTGGGGACGGATGCTCTCTCCGAGACAGCCTCAGCTCCCTTCCTCATTCAACAAAGCACACCCATCAATGATGCTACACCTACCCATCTATCCATATGCGCCTATGCTTACAATTTACGGCACTCTTTCATTGTTGTGCTTTCTTCTCTTCGCAACATCTTGATTGTTTCCCCCGTCCCCAGTCTCCGTCTACAGCAAGCTCCTTCATCTATCTGTTGCTCACGTACCCCCTTCTCGAGACGTTGGCGCACTGGCAACCGGCGCCAGCACCACCAGCCTTGCAGCTCAGCGCTGCACCGCATCGCATCGCATCGATCTTCCAGACAAACACTCTGTCTGGGGGTTGCCACGGGGGACCACGCGGGCTTCAGGTCCACGGCCTTCGTTTCCCGTTTCTGCATGACCTCCGGCAAGGGTATCCTCTCTGCTCACCGGTCATGAATGCAGCTCTGCCTCTGCCTACCGAGAAAGTCAAATCCAGTGGCCCTATGGCTGCACCGCCTGCGCGAGCAAATGCAACCTAACCGAACCTACCGCACCTTACAGACTCATAGACTCAGGTCACACAGCTACTCCCCAACAGCTCTGGCCTCTCTACGGCGGCAGCATTGCTGCTTAAGGTGCCTCCCGTCCTTTCCCCCCTCATCCAAGTAACGTACACCCGTGGCCTGCCGTCTTGTGCCTCAATTCATCGTCTTGACGTTGCCTGTCGAGCAGCATCCGAAGTAACATGTCCAACTGTATCTTCCAGGCTAATCAGAGTTTATCCAGACCTTCGCGAGCATCATCGTCGTCATCTCTTCTTGCGACGGGTTCTCCGTCCGTTACCCACTACAGACTAGTCCAGCCTCTACACAGGCCTTTCCTGCAATCCCGCTCAAACGTCCCAGGCTGATTGTTTCTTGGCCATCCGCAATCACTACACAGTACACCCTTACTTTCGGCGACCTAATTAATTCTCACAGAAACTTAGATAGGTCCGTACGGACAGGCTAGGGCACCGAGACGGATACCCGGCGGGCAATAACTCCACTCCGCAGCAAAATACTCCGCAGCGTGCCAGCGTAGGCAAACCTCCAACATCCCTGGGGGCATCAACCGCGTCTCGAGCTTCCCGCTGCATGGAAGTGTGCCCTTTACAGGTACCCGTACCCAGCCGTCTTAGCCGTCCACCGGTCACCCTCCCTCCGTTCTACGGCAACACGCACCTGCTGTGACCCCTCCACTCTCAGTCTCGCCTCGTCTGCGTCTTGGCCTCGTTTTCGTGAACCCAAGTCTGGACTCTGAACTCCGGGAGTGGTCAACTATGCCGTAAAACCCACTGACTCAAGACCGCTGTGTCATCTCTTTCTGGAAGGCAAGCTGTGGCTCTACGGCCAGATCAGCCGAAGAAATGAGCAACGCCCATCGGGAACATTGGACGATTCACCGCTCCTGCTATTCAAACTTCACCATGGGCATTTACCAAACCCCATTGCTAGAAATGATCTGCAAGACTCTATGGCGGCTGAGGATTTAAGCCCAGTCCAGTGATCCCTTCCACTACCATACGTGCTCCTGGCACATCCTGGGTTCGCTGCGCACCCTGCGAGGCCAGCAACTAATCAGCGATATACTTACTTCATCGGGGCTTCTTGTGAACCCAGTTTGGGCGTTCCAAGCAGATGCTTAGAAGAGGCACTGTTGAGTGTCTGCAGCTTTGGTGGGCGAGGGCAGTGCGACCTCGATTTGTACGAAGGGCGATGGTCACTCCTCGAAACCATGGCTGACTTGTCGCTCTCACACTGATCTTATCTTGATTGGCACATTCACAGCACGCGCACACGCACGAACAAAGATATTGTGATAGCAATATCCCTTCTAGCGACATGGGGGGAGCACAAATGTCCTGGCCAAGTCATCAAACTCCTGAATCTCCAAATGTGCCAATTCCCTGGTTACAGATCTTCTCCGAGAGCAGAACGTCTTGTCTCATTCGTCTCGTCCGAGGGTCTGTTGCGCATAGCTCAGACGCTGGATCCAGGACTCAACCCAGCAAAGCTTACCTTACAATGTACGCGTCCCAATCTGGCCCCCCTGTCTCGAACGACTCCTTGAGCAATGCAACCAAAGCTTTCACCGCTACTGGCTGGCTTAGATCCGTATGGTCGAAGTCCCTCACCATGGTGGTTATCCTGGCATCACAGACCGTTCTAAGGATCTCTACTTGCACATCTGGAATGAAAATCCAGCATGGCGGCGGGGCAGAAAATATCCGTGTTGTCGCCAATAATCCAAGCGGCTCGCGTAAGGCTGAAGTCACTGCACACCCGCACAATGCCAATGCATATTCATGCGATGTCCACAGCCCAGACATTAGCAATGTCGATTGATTTGGCCGCGGTAGTGCCGAAGGCGGCTGTTCAGCAAAACTCTGTTGGCAACCAGAAAATCTGACACAGACTCGTCGGTGTTGGACAACCCATTGAAACGACGACCTTTAAACTCTAATCATCGCTGCAGACCGGGCTGTATCTCCGGCTGCACAGTATTTGTGGCAAGAAGCCATCCATCGATTCTCTGATTGACCGGGTCTCGGCTCGTTGCACGCGGGGTGGGCACGGTACACTGGACGGCAGGTTGGATGCCGTCTCGAGGGATGAACCTGCCAGAACTTTCTATCGTAATCGAACGATCAGCCAGGCTCGCAGGCTCACCCTGTTGCTTCGCATCTGAGCACTGTTCTCAGTCAGCCATGGTAGCATCATCTACGTCGTATGCCTCCCGACGGACAACCGATCAAAGATCAAACTATGCAGCTCAGAAGGCGAGCGGCTATGCGGGGGACAAAAGGAAAGACGATGGAGGTCATCGGGTATCCTTCTCCCAACCCTTCCACCATGATCGACAGCTCGAAACAAAGACGAAGAGAAGCCATGATGAGCTCAGTGGCAAAAGGATCGCGCCTTTTCCCGAGCGTATCGAATTCGTCCATTCGGAAAAAATCCTGCTTTGCGTTAAGCTTATACATTTCTCACATAAAAATAGAGATCGCTGACAAAGGCTTACGGCTAATTGTCTGTGGTTGTTGCCGATCTTACGATCCCAAGGCATCTTTGGGGATGTTTCTCGTCTGCAGTACCGTTGGCGGGCATACCAAACCTTGGAGTCCGTAAGAAGAAAAATCTCTGTTGGGCCAGTAATGCTTCTCAAAGACACCGGAAGCCGCTACGGATGTTGCTGCCGCTGTGGATTTCAAAGACAGTCATCAAGTCTCACAAAATACACATGGCTACATGTTTCATTGCAGGATAGTTGCTCTTGAAAGCGCATATGCTGCAAGTTGCGAGAACATGCCTCAGGGTGGCCGCGTCAGGCACAGTCAGCCACAGAATCACACCCCGTTGGAACCTCCAGCTCAGCCCCAGCTTCCGTCCAACGACATTCTTTCGCCGCCGTGGAATTGAGAAGACTACCGCACATCACTGATTGGCTCTGAGAATACCCAAGGCCTATTTGCCGCCGACATGGCGCCCGCATAGCCAGCAACAGCCCTACCGTAGGGCTTATCGTGGGATTCAAGGGTTCAGCTCAAGCCTCGCATGTGCCATCGGGTGTAAGTGCTGCAACGGGCAAGCCGGCCATAGCCGCAACAGCCGCTTTCCCTCAAGTAACATCTATTGCGTGATGATTTACCCAGCTGAACTCATAGATAGGCGAAAAGACCACAGTCTGCCGCTTCCGCTGTCCGCTCCGCCCTCCTCGTGAAGAGCAGCGGGCGTAAGGGCGGTATGGAAGAGGAGAGGGTAGAGAGAAGGTTCTGCGATCGCAGTCACTCTACCTCGATCCGTGGCATCGGCCCTAATGTCGCGGGACTAGGTTGCCCTTAGCTTTCCCGAGAGCTGCAAGCACGTCCTTCCTCGATAATTGCTCAGGGCTTGCTTTCATTGGATAAAAACGAGAAAGACTTTCCAATATTCAACTGCGCTGCCGCCAAGGGGGCGCACAGCTACAGCTGAGAATCCCGGCTGACAGGAGAGGGAATGTGGGCAAGGGAAACACACAACGGCTGACGGCTTGGCGCAGCTTACCACTCCTGGCCCAGCCCGTCCAACCCGCACCCGGATGCTGCTCCGGGATTGTGGGGGTGGGAACGCGAACCCGTGTCCGACCTTCCGGACGGGGTGGGGGGGTACAAATCCGCTGCTAGACGCGCTGCCGAAGTTTGACGACATTTCGGCGAAGAGAGCGTTCTCCACATTCCCTTTCCAGTAAGGAGGTCTACGGGAGGTCCGGGAGACTTTGCTGGGCTGCGTTGTTTTCGTGTTTTCTGTTGCAGCGTGGAGCTTGACCTTGCATAGACTCTGAACTGTGTGCCGTTGTAAGGATTGACAGTCTCGTCAAGACGGATGCACTTGATCTGATTAGCAATGCCGAGACGGGGATTCGATGGACAACGAGTGTTGTTATCTCCTCTTCCTACTGTTATTCTCCTCTCCTTCATCTCTCACTCGCCGAGCACCAAGTGAATCTCATGCTAGGCTCCTCTGATCGAAAGGACGGGTATGGCACAATCAGCTGCCTCCTTCAAGAAAACTTCAAAGACCAAAGAACTCTGGTCTTGGACCGTTCATATCAGTATTGCATGACTAGTCATGCAGACCGTAGACGGGCTCCTGATTCCTCATCTCGGCATCCCACATTGCCGAGGCGAGTACTGGGCGCGCTATAATCTTCGTCGCGGTCCACTGAGCTGGGATATACCTCCGTGAGTTATGCTCTTCCCAAAAAGCCAAGGAGGAGATGATTTGACCGGGAAGTCATATGAACCCGAAGCCCGCTTGAGGGCGTGGACTGCTATATCTCCTGTCAAAGAATCCAGGTACAGGTTTTCCTCTGAGGCCTCTATTTGGAGTCTACAAAATGCTCACTGATACTTCAATGTCTGCCTGGCTGGGGAGAAGGAAGTATTCGACTGACGGTTGTGTATTTCTCTGACCTAGGGTGAGTACTGGGGTAGGGTGCGCTCGTATAAAGTACTTTAAGTTGAGTTGGGTATATCGCAAAGGCCAGTACCGCTACGTTGGCGGCTTGTTCCTGCCTAAGGTTTAACTCAGTAGAGCCGTGTTGAAATCGACCTCATGAGGCATATTGTGGACTTGGCCGGCCACCGTTACGTTGATCTGTCGTACACGGTCGCTTTTGTAAGGAGCTCTAAGTACTAGAGAGGAGTAGACCTTGAGGGCTTTGTGACTATGTGTTTAAATAAGTGAAATTTGCGATTTGGGACGACTTAATTATGTAGTTCATGTGGTAAAGAAGTCAGCTCACCTCAGCTATGGCCGTGGTATTCTTTCCTGGGTCTTACGAGAGATGTGTTACCACTCGCCTCCCCTATTTAGGCTAGATATAGACAACGGCGACTTCTCTAGCGCCGTTATGGAGACGAGTCCTACTTACTCGACCAGAGTAATCGACGCGCTTTGGGACACAAGTGAGGTAAGCAGGACTTTTGCACTCCTTGGGCGTAGTCAGGGCAACTTGAGGCATGTTATCTCTCAGATCTTTGCGCCGTGATTTCAGGGAACACGAGCTTGGCTCCCGCCGACCTCTACTCAGACGTGTTGGCGGTTCTTTTGACTTTCGCAAGGCTCTGACGCTGATATTATTCGTCATTGAAGTTTTCGAAGATAAGTCCGGAACGTGATTGTCCCGGGTCCTGGAGAGCATGTGTTGGGAGAAGACGTTGGTCATCCTCGCGCCCGCGGGCGATGTTACTACATGCACCTCAGGTACTCTCTCGCGTGCTGCTGATAAGGGCGGTACAGGTCGGGGATCAATCTGATCACTTGGGTGGCGAAGGACTTTGACTATTCCCAGTTTCGAAAGATGTCGAGAGAGAAATGAGGTTATCGACAGGGAGATCAGACCCAGGGCGGTGTACCGAGGCAGACTCGCCGCACACTATACAGAAGCAGGTGAATGGTGCAGATCAATGATTGTTTGTTTGTAAAGAGTCCATTTGTCAAGCTGCTCCAGAGATAAAGGCAATCCTAACTTGACTCGCGATGCCACTCGATTTCCTGCCCACCTGGCCGCCGCAATTGACCACAGACCCACGAAAGTAAGACATGACGTTAGTTCAAAGCTGCTCCTTTGGGTAATGAAGGAAATTGATGTCATCTTGGAGTTCAAGTCGTAAGACACATCTCCGGCTTTGAGTGAGTCCATCTTGGCCACAGTACCAAGTAGCATGACGCCAATGCAGCGAGCAGAGCTGCGCTGGGATGAGAATGGGAGTACTTCTATGAATATTCAAGACTTCAATGGCCAAGGTGCGTTTTGTGAAGGACAAAGGGCAGGAACATGAATGAAGTTGTCAGTCTACCAGAGTGCTCAGGACTGGAAACACCATATGGGGGACATGATAGTTCATAGCAAAAGTCCTGAAACTTGAGCAAGAGAAGATAAAATCCAACTCTGGAAAGCTCTTCACTAATTCTCCGCACGGAATTTTGGACTCCATGGAAGGACGAAAGATCGACGTGATTAGCTTGGTTGTCTGCTTGTCTGCTTGTCTCTATAGACCCTAGTCAAGAGGCAAAAGGAAGCCACTCCAGGCAAAAACAGAATGTGGTTTGGTATGCATCCGCCGATAATCGAAATCGGGTCCCTTGCTATTCAGTCAAATGAGTGGAAGGCAAGGATGATAACCACTACACTACAGATGCTTGATGTCCTTTTGCGCAGGAATAGCTGAATATGTACCTACGATGTGCGGATTCGCTTGGGCTAGTAAGGGCAAACGGTGGAAGACGGCCCACATGCGGGATTTAGTCAGCCATCAGACTTCGAGACCTGGATGTCCACACCTTGCTATCGAAGTATGTGTGATGAAGACGTTGCCGATTCAGAGGAAACAAACACAGATGATAATGATATTCCGTGATGGCAGAATCTCGTAGATTGTTGGGGCGTGTTATTGCCTCGTCGTCTGTCGGTGGTGGAGTCGGGGGGAGCTAGTGTGCAAGATCGTGTTTTGAAAAGAGGAGTGTCTTGCCTTCAGTTTGTTCTCTTAATTATGTCGAGGGTGTCAGTCTTTGATTGTTTTCATTTCTAATTCTAATTCTATTGCTATTCTCAGGGATTCCATGAATGTTTCTCTCATAACTGGCGACACCCCGCTTTTAAAACTCAATATGAACGATGCGCCGGCCATCACGAACGTATGTTGAATATTTACAGTCCAGAAACATCGGTTAGCCCTTCTGTCTCTGTTTGACAGCCACTAGACAAAGGGTGTACGTGGCTTAGGATAGTCGCTTCCGTCAAAGTTCACCACAAAAAATGTCATCAATTATTTCCCTCTAATTTCTGATGGAGAGCCAAGCCAAATTTCATACGGTACTCGAAGAGGTAGACTGCGTCAAGACAGTGAGAAGAAAAGGGGGCCCAAGGAGAACAGGATAGCTTGTTGTAGATGGGCTTGCGGTTGATGACGATATTGAGGAAGACGAGGTGCTAGTGACGCCCGATTGTATCTGAGACCCAGTTGGGCCAGATAGAGAAATCGTTCCAGTTGCACTTGGGGTGCTGATGGGACTGGTGACTTGGCTACTCGTCGAAGCACTGGCTGTCGAGGACTGACTTGTGAAAGAGGAGGTGATGCTCAGAGATGATGAGAGAGTTGAAGAGGTAGAAGTTGAATTTGACAGGCCTCCTGATGCGCTGCTCGAGACAGAGCTAGTTGTTGCAAGACTAGTAGAAGAGCCACTGGTGCTAGATGTTCCTGAGATGGTGTTTGAGGCTAAAGGCGTTGTGGCCGAAGTACTTGTAGACAAACTTGCCGTAGCAGTGCTGGAAGATGAAGTGCTGCTAAGTGAGCTTGTAGGCGAGGTGCTCAAAGAAGTAGTACTGGAGGAGGATATTGAAGTAGTTCCAGTTGATGAGGACGAGGAGGTGGATGTTGTGGAAGATGAAGTCAGCGATGGAGCCGATGTTGACGTTGAAGATGTAGAGGAGAGAGATGTCGAAAATATTGTCGAAGATGTTGTCGAGGCAGACGTAGGCGAGGTAGAAATCACGGAGGTGGTATCAGTCGAGGACGAGGAAGACGAGGATGAGGTTTGTGTTGAAGAAGTGTCGGATGTTGACGAAAAGGTGGAAGATGAGGTAGACGTGGTACTAGACGTGGAAGTGTCGGATGAGCTTGATGTGATAGAGGTAGATGAGGATGAGGGCGAGGTTGTGGTGGTGGATGCTGATGAACTAGACGAGAAAGAGGTAGGGCCTGTTGAAGATGATGTTGATGACGATGAAGTCAATGAAGTGGATGAGGTAGTGACGTTGAAAAACGAAGTCGACGATGAAGACGATGAAGACGATGAAGACGATGAAGACGATGAAGACGATGAAGACGATGAAGACGAGGTAGAAGTGGTAGAGGTTGTCGTGCCAGCAAACAAGCCGATAGGCACCGCCCTCGTGCCATATACAGAGTATAAGAGCTGGTTACCCGTGTTTCCACCACAGTTTGCAGGAGGAGAACCCGCGGGCGGAACCTCGCCGCAGATGTAGTTGCAGTTGCTGTCAACAACGCCAACGGTGTCAACAAATCTGATATCGGCCGCGGGTAAGGAGCAGTAGCAATATGTATCGCGAAGGAGAGCGAAGTCCCTGCTATTGGCTATGCATAGATCTTGGCAAACCTGCGGCCCATTGTCGGTCCCGTTTCGTGCTACTGCTATCAATAAGGTGTTGTATAGCATACCGCATCCCTGATACGCCATAGGTGGAACATTGTATGCAGTCCCTTGACCCAGCACACAGTTGAAGGCATAGCTGATGGCAAAGAAAACTGTAACCCAAAAAGAAGGCATCATGTATAGACAGGATTGTCTAGAGCACTTGAAAAGATGAGGAATGTTCTTACAGTACACCAAGCGATGGAAACTTGGGATCTACATGTTAAAGCAAAGGAATAGAAGAGACCATGAAAAATGTCTGTAATAGATACGAGTGTTGCCTTGAGTTATCCGAGTGAATCATTAGTTCCATCCTGGTATCACAGGACTTATTCACTAGGTAACGATCATAATTAGTCCTTAGCCTGGTATAAGGGAGAAGGGACAGGTAGGTATGCATGGCATAGCACTGAGATGGCAATGAGGCGGCGTGGCTGTCTCGGTCTACCAGCCAAAATTCCATGGATCCAGATCAGATACATTCTGATTGACGTTTGGTTGGGCCCAGGGCGGCTCATCAGTCACCCAGGAATTCGAGCCCGTTGCCGAGACTTCAACAGTAAGACAACCTCTAGCTAAGCTTCAATTCTTGGATTTCTCAGCTGGAACGTTGCCATTATTCAGACCTGGGAATATCGTGCCGCCTTCAAAAGATGGCAAAGTTGAGCCTCTCGCTTCACATAGTTGTTGTGTTGCTGGAAGGACCGGATGGGATCAGGTCGATATGAAAACTTGGAACTCAATGTAGCTCTGAGATGGAATACTTGGGCTGAGTACAACAAACCGCTTGAGACGTAATGAAAAATTGGGCTGCATGCCATGGCACCAATGTAATGAGACATGGAGACCAAATGCCTACTTACAACTGGCCAGCATCTGGGATAGACGCTGCACCTGTATGCCCACAGGCTAACATGTATTATTTCGGCACGCATAGATATATAACATGCGGCCCGGGGGGTTCCTCAGAATGTTGATGGTCGGAAAGGAGGGTTCTTTTGAAGGAGAGAGTTGAACGGTCACCCGGCGTCGGCATTGACTTTCAATTACCTAAGTAAGTCAGCAGGATGCCAGTATCCCTCGCAGCAACCCCCACTCCACCAGAACATCATGTTTGACGCAAGCTCGGACGGTTGGTCTGTACTTCGGTGCATCATGAAATCTTCAAGCCGCAGCACTCTGCCCATTCGAGTTCTTCCTCAGCCCACAGCCCGCTTATCTGCTTCCATAGAAGAAGGGTCACGGCAAGCATGAGACGGTACAGCCACAGACAAGTCATAGCATAGAAGCCTTCTATCTTCGTATTCTGAGCGTTCTTCCTATCCAAGCACAGAAGACGGCGATGCGGCGTGATGTCACTGCCGAGCCCGCAGACAATATCCTCAGAGCGTAAGCTGGTCCTCTACTGGTATGCAGAAGACCTCGGCCACAAACTGCTCGACTCTTTCCCGGCAGGCAGATTCAGAGAACTTTACTCAGCCGAGCGCTGGATTTGAAATTCTTCTTACGTCCAGGCGACTCTACAAAGTTAACCTCGCTATCATGAACGGCACGTCACATTTCCTTCGCACAGTCTGTTTTATTATCTCAATGGGGTATCCCTCCATGCTATAACTTCACTGGGTGAGGACAGGAAACATGCGAAGACACCCTGGGCCCAGAGTCAAATGATTGATAGACCGAGAGGTTCAGAAGCGATTTTAAACTTGCTAGCTTCGAGCAGATGTGGCTCTTATGCTCTCTTATCTCCCGCGCGGCCTCGGGCCGTGGCAGTGCAGGTGCGCCTGCGCTTCTCCTTCTCTCATGACCACTGGTTTCCATGCAGAAGCCAACGAACCGGCCTAGCAGCTTCTTTCAGATATCAGCTGCTACTTGCCATGAAGCCACGCGGAAAGAATCAGTTGGCAGGACGTTCTAGATTGGGCTTCTGTAGTCGAAATAAGCCGAAGGATCCATCTTCCCTACGCAGATAATTCTCGCAAAGGAGAGGTAAAATTGTAATTCCACGAAAACCCGGCCGGCCGAAACAATTCCCCGTAACTCTTCAATACAATTTACGCAATTTCCAAGATGGCAATCCGGTTGCTTGATGGGCATTGGATGCAACCTTTCGCTTGCTTTCCCGAATTCGAGACCGCCGGTCATCCCCAACAACAGCTGTATCTTCCGCATTGAGTTCTTCCCGCATGAATCTCCCAAAAGCCGTCTCCAGGTTGCATTCTTTTGCAGGTTAAACCGATCACCTCGGCTAGTGCGCCCCTCTGCGGAAGCTAAAGTCCAGACTTTCTCCAGCCATGTCCTTCTCTGTAGGTAGATGCCCGAGGGCGGACCTTTCATCTCATCTTCCACCCTTTCAGAGAAGCCAGGTTTCGAAGCTTCTCACACACCCCTCGTCTCGAAAAGCATCTTTCATTTTGTTTTCCATCCTCCGGGTGTCCGGTAAGATTTCTTAGCCTACTTTCTCAACAAGGAAAGATGCGACCAAAGCTCAAGAGTCTATCTCGATGTCTGGTACCTGCCAAGACCACACCAAGCTGCTACTGCGTAGGACGGCGTTAAACGGTGTTTCTCTCCTATCTGCGCCTCACCGACACACTGACACTGCGGCCTTGGCCCTGGGTTCTGCTGGTTGTGACAGCAGCTGTGCTTTTCGCAGAGGCAATGCTAGCATGTAGCTGTAAGTGACCATGTGCAGCCGCAGCCCGCAGCTTGCATTTTGACTGACTTGTTTGTCAGTGCGAACGATGTGTAGCATGGTTTCCATTCGCGTACGGATTACTTCGTCACAAAACACATGCTGCCATCTTTAGCCACTTTTGTATCGGTAGTGACGCCAGAAAAGACACCTTATCCGGCTGAAGAACGAATGCGAAATATCTCCAAGAGACGCGGGCCCCTCTCAGGCCCGTTCTCTCCTCGCAAAATAGGCATGGACAAGTTCACGTCCCGATTGACGCCTCCGGACCACACCACCGGATTTTTAGTGGGTTCCTCTCGTGTGGTTGCCCAATATGGCAGTCCGGCAGAGGGGGGACCATGAGAGAGTGTCCGTATCCTCAATGCAACTGACCGGCGGCCTAGGAACACCCTTTGCTTCGCTTGCTCTTGACAGCGGACAACCTCCCCGTCGACCTTGCCAGACGGCTGGCCTCACTGCAAAGACCGAGTTAACTTGCGACTGGCAGCCATGCGTCCCCGGACTGCCACGCCCTCGGCAGGGTCCATATGTTGGCCCATCCTGTCTTCACCAAAGTCTTGGATTACCGTTGTCCCTGCAGAGCACCGGCAGGCCGTAACGACCCAGCCACCTGCGCGATGACAGACGGTTTCAGGATCAGCCTTGAGAGAGCTGCTTGAGGCAATCGCAGCTGAGTGTGGTGCTCTGATGGGTTGGAACTACCTCATCAGAGATATAATGTCCTGGACAGTCTTCCCATTTTCTGGTTTGGGGTTACCGAAGAACAAACTCATCTCGCAAACACTTCTCTAATACCCATATTTGCATCAGCTCACCGCAATAATGGCTCCCACTATGGCAGCGTCCGCTTACACGGCCACTCCCAGGTCACCCTTCCCTCTGCAGCTCTCCCCCAGAGCCCTGAGGTCACCGAGGTCACCCATGACCTTCAGTCAGTCCGAAATCCTGTCCCCTCGGGCCATGGCCAAACAGGAAAAGGACCTATGCCTTCCGGCACAAGGCTCCATCTACATTCACAAGCCTGACCAAGACTTTTGGAATGTTCGTTGCGCCGAGACTCTCGATGCTTTCATGAAGGCTGCCGGCTCTTACACGCCGGCTCAGCGTGCCGCCCACCTCCAGCTTCTCTCGGAGATCATCATCCCGTGCATGGGTCCTCACCCGGCCACGGCCCCGACTAAACCCCTGCTCACCGCCGACGGCTCTCCATTCGAGCCATCGTGGAACATCACCGACTCGGGCTCCTCTTCGATTCGCTTCTCATTTGAGCCCATGGGTCGACATGGCGGCTCAGCATCAGACCCATTTGCACAGAAGATCGTTCCTGCGATCCTTCCTGCTTTGCGTATGGTATCTCATGGTGTGGACACGCGGTGGTTTGAGCAGTTCATGTCCGCTCTATTCCTGACCGAGGCGGAGTCAGAGACGGCTCTCTCCAGACTTCCAAAGGGAACTCGTGCGCCAACGTCGTTCCTTGCCTTTGACCTGGATGGTGCCAAGGCTGTTTTCAAGGCATACTTCTTCCCGGTCCTCAAACACATCGCAACGGGGGCTTCGACCGAAGACATTACGTTTGACGCGATCCGCACCTTGTCACCCCGGGGCGCCGACCTTTCCCAGTCTGCCAACGCCACGGAGGAGTACTTCAAGAATTGCCCATTTGCCATTCCGGTAGAGATGATCGCCCTGGATTGCATCGACCCTGCCGAAGGAGCCCGCGTCAAGGTGTATGCTCGCACCCGGTCAAACGCCTTCAACGTCGTCCGTAATGTGGTGACTCTCGGCGGGCAGATCAAGGACGAGGCGACGCTGAAGGGCCTCGAGATTCTTAAAGGCATTTGGCATCTACTTCACAACGAGGCAGAGCCTCACGACGATGATTGGAACAAGGAGCCAAAGATGGTGAACACTCTCCACAAGGGCATCTGCTACGGCTTCGAGCTCAAGCCTGGCGCGAAGTGGCCCGAGGTGAAGGCATACGTGCCGCTTTGGCAATACGCCGACAGCGACGCCGTCATCTCAGCAAATTTGGCCCAAGCCTTCCGTTCCAGGGGCTGGGCTGTCGCTGAGAAGTACCAAGATGACATGGCTCGTTGCTTGTAAGTCGACTCCTGTGCCTCTCTCTCTTTCATTGA